GAGCCCAGGGCGAAGTAGAGAGGAAAGCAAAGGGGCAGAGACGGGAGGGAGGGCAGGCCGGTTTCAAGAAGGTCGCCCAAAAGTCGGGAGTCAGAATCTCCTGTGAACCCAAGTCAGAGAGAGACGCCGCTGTCCACTACGTGTCCAGGCAGTTGGTGCCCTTTGGCTGAAGGAGACCTTTGGCTTCCCTGCTGGGAGGAGATGGACTTGGGTTGGGGGGGGTCACCCCGTCTTCTTCAGGGGGCGTCCAAGCCGGACGTGGCTGGAAGGAGCTGGTCTTCTGGGCCCAAAATGTGGGCAGCCCCAGGGGAGGGAGGGAGGGAGGGGGGTCACACCGCCCCCTTGATATCCTGGGTGGGCCTTCCTCCTTGGGTGGTTGATGGCCATCATCTACGGTCCATCCCCTCCCTCTGCCCGCATTCACACAACCTTGCGGGCGTCCTCTCTCTCTCTCTCTCTCCTTTCCCTTTCAAGGCCAGCAGCCACCTTGGCGGCTCTGTTTATGGCGGGCAGAGGAGCTTCCCTGCCAATGGGGGCCCTGACTCCACTTTTGTGGGGATCGGTTGGGTGGATTTGGGAATAACCGGGTCGGGCAGGGGATGGATGAACCGCAGCCCAGAAGACCGGAATCCAGAGCAGCCATGGCTAGGAAAAGTCTACCATTCGCCTTCCCTTGGCTCTGCCCTTGGAGTGTTGGCCTCTTTTCTTGTCCCGCCAAGGCTGAGCAGCACTAAAATTAGAGTCCGTTCCTGTTCCAAGGCAGATGGATCCTGAGAACAGGTGGCGCCTCAGGATTTAGTGGGGGGTGCTGGATTTGGCTCAGCTTCCTCCTCCTCCTCCTCCTCCTCTCCGTAAATCCTACTCCCTTCTAGCATTGATGATGTTTCGTAGTCTGGTAATGAAACGTCTGCAAGAAAACAACCTCAGAGAGCACCAAGGATCCAAGCACAGTCCTCCTCCTCTTCCTCCTCCTCCTCTTCCTCCTCCTCTTCCTCTTCCTCTTCCTCCTCCTCCTCCTCCTCCTCCTCCTCCGCTTGCAAGCAGAACGGCATGTGTGAATGGACTCAGAGGCGCCTTCAGGGCCCGTGTTGGGTCCTGGCCTAGAAGCCAGGATGAAGTTGGTGGTTTTGTAAGCCTGGGCCCGCCAGGGGACGCGACAACCCCGTCGCAAGGTTTCCTCCCAAGGAAACCTCTCCCTGTCTGGACTTCCAGGATTTCCACGTAGCGACGCCCCCGTGGCTGCCGTTGTGTGTGGAGATGCTCAAATCCTCCAGGACGTGGTTGTCCCAAAGGGGCTTTTCCAAAAGGCAACTGGATTTTCTTGGTTTTTTTTTTTTTTTTCTCTTGAAAATATTTCGCTTTTCAGTCAAAAAACCTTCCCCAGAACTGAAGAAGCTTCTTGGACGGAAAGTGAAATGTTTTCAAGGGAAAAACTAAAAACCAAAGTCCAGTGGCCTTTTGGAAAGGCAGCTTTGGGACACTGCTGTTATTAAGTCCCTCCACCCTGCTGTGGTCATCTTCCTCCTTCTCTTCCTTTTCCTTCCTTCTTTCCCCTTGCTTCCTCCCTCCCTCCACCCTTCCTTCTCTCCCTCTCTCCTCCCTTCTCTTCCCTTCCCTTCCTCCCTTCCTTCCTCCCTTCCTTCCTTCCTTCCTTCCTCAGCATTAAAAACTTCTCCAGAGAGCTGGGTTTTTTTGTGTTTTTTTGCACAATATGTCCGAAGTACAATTTTCAGCCTTGTAAAAATTTGTCCCTCGGGGGTAAGAATTCGGGATTGATTTGTTCAGGAATCCGCTGGCTTCTTTTCTTGGCTGTCCACGGAATCCCCAGGCGTCTCTCCCAACACCAAAAGTCCAAAATCATCTGTACTTTTCAAGTTTTCCTGCCTTGCTGCTTCAAAATCTACCCTTTGCTTCCATAGAGAGTCACAGGGAAACTGGGGCCTGCCGGGGAGGCTTCTCCGATTACTAACCTTTATTTATCTCAGGTTGACAGCTGGGGGCCGTTGCTTACAAACTGCCGTCTCAGGTTTAAGGACCGCAGTTGCTGTTACAATCCAGGTTGGTCTCGACGGCTGGAATCCGCCTGGAGAAAAAAAAGCCTCTGCCGTTTTATTAGTCACATTTTCAAGAATGGTTAGCCATTGCTGGCTTCTTAGGGCTGAGAGAAAGTGTCTGGCTTGAAGTTGCCCAGCTGGCTTTGTGCCGAAGGGAAGATACGAGAATGAGCCTGTTGCTTTAACCACTGCCCCATGCTGTCTCTCCAGGGCAGTGGTCTCCAAACTTGGCCACTTTAAGACTGGTGGGCTTCAGTTCCCAGAATTCCCCAGCCAGCAGAGCTTACTCTCTTGCAATCCTCTTCCTCTGCAATCTCTCCTCTTGGGGAGATAGGAGAAAAAAGAAACAGTCACGGCGGGTTGGAGAATTCTGGGAGTCGAAGTCCACAAGTCTTAAAAGTTGCCGAGTTTGGGGACCCCTGCTCTAGGGTAGTGGTGCCCAACCAGTGGGCCAGGGACCACTGGTGGCCCGCGAGAAAATTTTGTTGGTCCGCAGAGAAATGTCACCCCCAAAGCAATTAATCCAGGCTGCGCGGGAACACAAAGAATAAAAAAAAAGACTTCTGCTGCTTTCCTTGCATGAAGAGGGAGAGGAGGAGGAGGAGGAGGAAGAAGAGGAGGAGGAGGAGGCCTGTGGGGTCCTTAGTGTTCTCTGAATTTAGATGTTTTATTGCAGACATTTCATTACCAAACTAGGTAACATCATCAGTGCTAGAGGGTTGTGGGATTTGCTGTCCGTAAACTCTGCAAACATAGCACGAATGATGTTACCTAGTTGGGTCATAAAACGTCTGCAAGAAAGCAACCAACCTCAGAGAACACCAAGGATACATAAAGAAATTATTACGTGGTTTTATTGCCAGGAAGTTCCTTATCTTGATCGTACAATATGAACCGTTAGCCCAGAGAACAGTCTGCAGGATGAAGTGAGTCCTCTTTTGCTTAAAGGTCTTCAAACACAGCTCTGTGTGTGTATGTGTGTGTTTGTGTGTGTGAGAGAGATGCTCGAATGCAGAGGTCTCCAACCTTGGCTACTTTAAGCCTGGTGGACTTCAACTCCCAGAATTCCCCAGCCAGCAAAGTCCACCAGGCTTAAAGTGGCCAAGGTTGGAGACCTCTGCTCTAATAGAGTGTTTTTTACCACTTGGCAGCTTTACGATATGTGAACTTTTAACTCCCATGCTTCAACTCCCATGTTGGCTGGGGGATTCTGGGAGGTTGAAGCCCATACATCTGAGCTGGCTAAGTTTGAAAAATCCAGTTCTGCTAATTCTGCACTGAGCAGGGTGTTGGACTGGATGACCCCTAGGGTACCCTTTACATTTTGATTCTAGACTTTATGTTTATTCCCAGACTACTAATTCCTAGTAATTTAAAAAAGAAAAGAAAACTTTGTGCAATGTAATGGTTCCTGATTGCTCAAATCCAATCATCCTCATCGCTTAATCATGCAGAAAGTTCTGTCTTTTTTTAAACACCACCACCACCACCCAAAAAAAAATGAGTAAAAGAAACTTGGAAACTTTGGAAATATTTAAACTCCGTGATGAATTGCACAATGGCTGTATTTTTAAAAAGGGGAGAAGGGGAAATGCAATGTGGCGCGCCTGAGTAGCCTGGTGACGTGGTCCTTCTTTTGCACAACATTATAATTTTTATTTCATGCTTATTTGGGGGTACAGGACTCCCCCTGTTCACCTTCATTACGAGCCTGCCCTCAGGTCTGTTTTGCCCAAAAGTCACTCGAGCAGCCTGGAAGGCATGTGTGTATGTGAGTGTGTTTGTATGTCAGCAAGTTCCCCAGTCTCTAAGCTATGTGCTTACCCAGAGTTGTAGGAATGCTATGAACAGGTGCAGAGACCAAAAATACCCATTTCCCGTCCCCGGGCCCATGTGAATGGTGAGCGAAGGAGGGTGAAAAATGGGGGGGGAGGGGCTTCCAATGGAGGAAGTTTGATCTTTCTCTTTTGCAATTTCTTTTTTCCTCAATTTATTTTTCTGTCTCAAAAAAAAAAAAATCCCAAATCCCAGCCATCCTCAAAAATGTCCCCCCGCCCTCCAAAGGATTCCATTTCTAATTTTGACTCTCATGGATGGATTTGGTTTGAAGTCAGGTTACAGATAACAGATTTAACAGAGTTGGAAGGGACCTTGTAGGTCATCTAATCCAACCCCCCACCCACCCAAGCTGGAGACCCTACACCATTTCTGACAAAGGGCAGTCCAGTCTCTTCTTGAAAGTCTCCAGGGATGAAGCTCCCACAACTTCTGAAGGCAATTTCTGTCCATCGGTTGATTGTTTTCACAGTCAGAAAATTCCTCCTTATTTCCAGGTTGAATCTCTCCTAGATCAGTT